ATTTTCAATGAAATGTAAGTTTAACTTTACTTCATAGTGGTCAAAATCCTTTCTGAAAAAAGAAAAGAAAAGAAAAAAAAAGTCTGGAAAAACAAATAAGTCGGTGAGGATGAGTACTAAAAAACAGTGTTTTGTTAACTGAAACTATTAAAAACATTTTTGTTAATTTAGATAAAGCTGAAATAAAATATAAAAACATAACATATACATATTAAATGAAAAACTTTTCTCCTGGCAATTAACTGAAATAAGTTTAAGTACTAAAATTACTGAAATAAAAATAAATTAAAATGTAGAAATATGAAACAAAAATAATAAAAATAACAAAATTATAAAAAAGTAACAAATTAAAATGAAACCTGAAAAAATTAAATATAGGCTAATTCAAACTATTAATAAAAACTAAAATAGTACATAAATAGTACTTAACACTGGTACAAACACACAGTGGCTCTGTTTCAAATCCTAAAGAGCTGCCTAACTAGACAACATTTTAAGGCATTATAGGTGTGCTCCTAAAAGTAGATCAACATTATGATGCCTCATTGTCTAAGGCAGTTTATCATTGTACTTCAAGGAAAAGGAAATCCCAGAACGCATTGCACAAGCTCAGATTCATCCAATATGGCAGACAAGTTGAGAGAAAGATTATAAGCATACTTAGTTCATATAAAACAGGTCTACGTTTAACACCAAACTCTGGGCTCAATTGTGAGTCAACTCTCCACTTCACATGAAGAGAGCTATTTACAGTATGTGGCTTGCTTATGAAGAGCGTTTCATAACAGTCACTTCCATTTCGGCTAGGATATTGCCTGAGAAGACGGTACACGTCAAAGTTTAAACACAGCAATAGACACACCTCTCCAAATGCTCCTCTCCCAATCACTTTGAGGGACTCAAAGTCATCAAGACCAAGGCGGGTCCTTTTGAGGCGCAGAAACTCTGTCTCCTTACGAGCGTGCAGAGAGCGCCTCATACTCTTCTACGACAAAAAAAACAAAACAAAAACAGACACTACTCAGCCAAATATCTTGAATACTCTTTTGGTCAGTCATACATTAAATCTCTCTGGCGTACTCAAAGCAGGGCACTAAGCAAACAGTCTGAGTCCTATTCAAACCACTTCGCAGATAAGCAAAACTAGTTTTTTCTTTGTTGACACTTTCACTGTGATTATTGACTCAGAAAGTCATTCAGAATATAACTAGAATAATGTGAAGTAGCTATACGGTCAGTATAGATTCTCTGAGGGCATCTCACCTCTTCATCAGGTAAACCCTCCTCATCCATCAAATTCTCCAGCTTCTTCTGCCTGAAACGGGGGAGAACAGCTTCATTATGACCAGTCACAACAAACTAGATTTATTCTAATCAAATAACACTTGATTGAATTGATACGTTGAGTGATATGGCTGGAGGAAGCAGGTGTAGTGGGTCGTTGTTGCCATGGTTACCTCATCTCCCGCTCCTCGTGCTGGGTGAGCAGGGTGCTGTAGAAGTGCTCCAGCGTGAGTTTGGCCACCGTGACTCTCTCACGTGTATGGTTGCTCATGGGGAGGGGCGCTGCCATGCCTCCCGGCATGGCCACGCTGGTCTGTAACAGGAAAATCATTTGCAAAGCAGAGTTCCCAGAATACAAATGAATGCAACCTCCACCAAAGAGCCCTACTTATGAACAAAACACAACACATGTTTGTCTATGTAAATGGACACATTGTAAATTATATTATTTTGTAGATCATAATGTAATTATTAATAATATTCATAAGTATCGTCTTCATAGTCACAGCACCACCATGACCAACAATAAAACAAATATAGCCAAAAGATTCATTTTAAAATTTTGAATATTTTAACTATATAATTTCGTAAATAAGGGTTATTTGATTATCTGATTTGTATCGCAATTACAAAATAACACCGCGGTAAATCAAAATAGAGGCTCGTTCGTCATCGCTACGAGTGGGGTTCTCACATGAGTACGAAAATGGAAAAACCCGGAGTGGAGTTTGCAGTTGCAACGAGTGTGAATCATGGTGTGAATTCACATCGCTTTGTGAGGAAAGTCGGTGAGGAAATCTATATTCCAGACCGGTTTTCAGTCTGTGCGCGTTGCTGTGTACGCACGAGCATGCGCACGACAACTTGATGGTTTGGCATCTTTTGAACTATTTTCGTTGACAGAAGAATTATAGCAAGTAACTGACCAGTTTTTGCCTGAGACGTGAGTTATTTGATATTGATTGCTTGTTTATGACACTGTATTTTAAGCAATATCCCGGAAACAAAAATGTTGTTGTTCTGAAGCTCAAATAATTCCAGCCTCGTGCCTAAAAACCGAATCGCTCTTGTGATTTTGTTTAATTAGCATTATTGATGTCTAAGCATTGTTTGTTTGTTTGTTACATTTACCCGTTCGGGACTGAGGAGGACGTTACTGCACCTGCTCATGTTGCGGTCGTTTAAATGATTATGAATATGGGCCATTGTGGGGTAAACGAAAACTTGATTTGAGCGCGCGCGGCCTCGCATCTGCGTGCGTGACCTTGCGAACGTGACATGCAATTTGACAGGTTGATAAAAACAGACACATTGACGCGGATACACCACATAGATGGCCGTATTCAATAAAGACTGCCTTTATCAATATAACGTCACCTTGTCTATCAAAAACGCACAACATCGTAATGGACAGCAGGTGATATAACAACAAAAGCATTGCGATTATCACACATCTGCTTCTGTATCATGTATTATGAGCATTTAGTCTGCATAAAGCTAATGATTTACAACAGAACCACCACTGTGATTTATTTCCACCATCATATTTGTAAATTCTCACCTCCCCGTCCTCCTCCAGATTAGACAGTTTGCCGGACACCCGGGGATCAAAATAAGGATAAAATAAAGCCAACTGAATGGCCGTCCGTTGACAAGGCAAAGCAGAGTCGCTCAGTGATCGCTCATGTTTATTCTCTATTATTCAGGCTGATGTTTGTTGAGCTGCTGCTGCTGCGGCGGAGCTGCGCTGACTCTGATGACCCTCCTCCCAGTCCCCGCACGCGCTCACGCTGACAAATCAAGAGTCCCCGACGGCCCATGACAATTTTCCAAAATAAAAGTTGACAAGAAAGACGATAATACAATAGAATAATGGACAAAATAGCCCAGATATTAAGTGTTTTGATTTGTCTAAATGGGTTACTATATGGGCTATTTTGCCAATTTCTATTATTCTCCATTATATTATATTTATATATATATGTAGGCCTACTGGTCAAACGTTTGGAAAATTACTATTTTTAATGTTTTTGAATATAATGTGTTAGAAGTCTCTTATGCTCATCAAGCCTGAATTTGATTAAAAAAATACAGCAAAAACAGTAATATTTCACAATATTATTACAATTTAAAATAATGGTTTCATATTTTAAAATATCATTTATTTCTGTGATATAAAGCAGAATTGTCATCATCATTACTCCAGTCTTCAGTGTCACATGATCCTTCAGAAATCATCCCAATATGCTGATTTATTATCAATGTTGGAAACTGTTGTGCTGCTATTTTATAATGATAAAATATTATTTAAATTTGTATTATATTTTTTATATATTTTTTTTATAACCTCTGATATTTTTTTCAGGATTGATGCTGTTATCAGGATTGAATAAATTATATTTGAAAGTATATTAAGATAGAAAACCATTATTTTCAATTGTAAATAGTAAAGAAAGCTGCATTTATTTGGTGAAAAATACAGAACAAACAGTATTATTGTAAAATATTATTGAAAATGTTACGCAGTTGTCCACATCTGTCACCATGGTTACTATGGCAGTACAAGCGGAAACCAGGGATAACGACAGGCACTATTTACAATTTTTAATTTCTCTGAATTTACAAATTCTTGGAAACATTTAGGATAATGTAAGTACATAATTGAAAGAAATACATAACACTTTGCAAGTGGTTTTTGGATATTTTGATAAAAAAAATCTTACATATTGTACCTTCAATAATGCATAGTTATTGTAATTGACACATTGTGCAAGTTGCAGAACAGACAACCAAAAAACAAAGGTTTAAATACAACACATCTTCCTGAAACATCCTCTGAGAGACATTTTCATATATTTTATTAGTCCTCTGGTGACAAAGACAGCTGTGAAAAGCAATGTTAAATATTTCTGTTTTCTCTCTCTCAAACACAGACACACACACACACGTGCACTTTTTCCCTGCTTCATATAGGCTAGAGAGACAGTCACCTACTGGCCATAAATTCCCTTCTTTAATGTCACAGTTCAATGAAGCTTAGCTTCTGTTCATCCTTGTGTGGGTCTCTTTTTGGTCCATCCTCATTGTTGATACTGATTTTTCAAAGAAGTTTTAGCAGATGGTTTAGTTTCGATGTCAAGACAAAGACATAAAATCCACAAACTTGTCAAATGTAATGACTGAGTAAAGCTACATACAGTACACTTGATATTAAAGACTTTTCACTGTGTACTTCTAGTTTAAACTCATATTATTGCTAATTAAAACAATGCTGTGTTGAGTGTGGGTGACTCTCTTGGGCATTTAACAGGCCCTCTGTCATCGACGGATGAGTGCAGACACTGATAAACAGGCTAGAAACAGCATGATGGACAGGCTGATTGCCACAGCCCCTCCGCAGTCCTTGGCATTTTCCTAAAACAGACAAGATACACAGAATATGTATCAGAGATTTCTTATCTGAAAATCTTATTTTGTAGGTAGACAGATTGTAATCAGAAGGCAGCCTTGCAATGCATGTCTGAGAGCCGTCTAGTGTGTGTGTGTGTGTGTGTTTACTTGAGGGTGGTAAGCATGACAAGACTCAGGCCTTCTTCGTATCTTCTGAGATCTCATGCGGTCACATTTGACTGAGGCATTGTGTGCTCAGCGGTTAAGAAAAAAATGAAGAAAAAGCAAGAATAAAAACAAAGCATCGTTATAGCAGATCCTAATTTAAAATAGAATATACTTTGTTATACAGTTGGTTGCTTGTTTATAAAATATATAAAGATATATGTTTGAACATAAATTTGATCTGATTTCATAAAAGTGCACCCAGCAATTTGAGTGATATTTGTTCTTTCTAATGAAGTAAATTTACTGGTTGCACCTTTAAGTGACTAATCTGATCTCATTCAAAACTGTGATTCATCTCCTCAGTGTGTGGTCTGGGGAGCCTGATTTAGCTGGGTTTTTAAGGATATATTTGACCTCTTTGGGCTCCATGGTGATGGGTGCGTACTGCCGAGAACAGTCACAATCTGCCTGAATCACCACCAACAGCAAGTTACTGTCTGGAATCTGATTAATTACAAACACCCTGCGTGCAATAAAAGAAACAGAAAGATCAAGTTGGCATTCTTAACAGTTAATCCAAAGCAAACGGACTGTTTTCAATAGCCACAAAATGTAGATATAAGTTACATGAGCCGCTATCAAAATAAAGTCTCGATGACCTAGGGAGGTGTCACGATTTCCCTGTGTCTTGTATTTGTTTTTACTTTGTATTTTGTTTGTCTTGTTAAACAAGGTTCAGGTCCTGTATATTTAGTTCCCGTTTCCCTTGTCTCCATTGTTATCTTGTTAGTTTCCATAGTTGCCCTTGTTTGTTACAATGTCAACTAATCACCTGACCTGCACCTGTCTACCATTACTACTTTGTCATCAAGGGGCCAATTACAGGAGCTAAAAATGTAAAAAACTTTTTATGCATGTTGCCCATTCATTTATATGACAACAGCATTTGGGGGACTAAAAACTTTTGAAAACTGGTTTTTAAGTGCAAGTTTTTGAAAACGATACCATGATTATCTAAGGGTGTGTTTACACGGCAACGATATGCGTGAAGTGACTAAAACGACTAAAAACGCTGTATTCTGCTGCCAGGCCATTAGATGGCGATGAAACACTATAGATTGAACACGTAATATGCATGCATGTGCACGACGTCATCATCTTCAGAGATTCCGTTTTTGTTGTTTACACGGAGACCGAACTTTGCACTTGCACTTTGAAACCCATTTTCAAAACTTTGCGTTTTCAGACAGGCACCCAAAACGCCGTTGTCGTGTAAACAAACGGGCAAAAAAGCATAAAAAAACGGTGTAGTGTAAACAGCCCCCGAGTATAAACTACAAAAACGCAAATTTGTGAAAACGGTGACGTCATGCGCGTGCATATTTTCTTTACAAAGTTACATCACCAACTACTGGCCTGCCTGGGAGCATAATACAGCGTTTTAAGTCATTTTCGCGAATCTGTGTGAACGGGATCATTTTGACAATGTGTCTCTGTACGTGAAAAACGCACAGGAAAAACGTTTCCGTTTTAATACATCGTTGTTAACGTACCCTAAATGTGATTTCATGGTTCATCCGCGTCAAGCGTCTTGAATCTGGATTATCAAGTCAAGCCAGTAGGCTAAGTGACAGGAGGTAGGCCTAACCATAGCAACTTTCCGCTAGAATCAGTATCGCATTGTACATTTACCAAACATAAATAAGGTCATTTGTATTACTTCATTATAATGTTTCTAAAATATTCGATATTGCTAGTTGTGCTATCAGTGCCAAAAGAAAAACACACTACGCACGAAAATTACCTTAAGTGAAATCACCTTACACATAGTTGTATAATTAGCACACAAGTAAACTGAGAACTTGTACAGAAGTTTGATAAATATATGCATGTACCATATTCTTTTTTAAAGCACTATGAAAAAAGATGTGGACTATAATTCTGCCCTACAAAGCAAAAAGGCAGTAACTACGCAGAGTGCAGAACAGAGAAAAATGACTTTAAAGTTATCCTGTCATCCAGCCTAAGTAGTTGTAGGTAGATTATTGGACATGTGGCTGTTTTGTTACTTTATATTAGCTTATTCTTTGTACATATCAATCCTCATATTTAATTTGATATTTTACCCCTATTTTGCAGTTACTGTATTCTTGCTTTGTATTACTTACCAAAAACGTGGCACCATACGAAGGGAAAAGGCAGTAACTACAGATTCTCCCAAAACTACTTTGCCACAACTTGGAGATGGTCCTCACTGCGGAACATGAAATCCATGGGGAGGAGTCGGATCCAGATCCGACTCCTCCCACCTTACATACACCTAAACCTACCCAACTCCGCCCCCTGATCCCTAAACCCACCCCTAATCCCTAAACCCAACCCTAATCCTACCCATCTCCACCCCTTGGATCTTGATCCGACTCCTCCCCGTGGATCTCATGTACTGCATTGAGGTGCTACTGACAACTTGGGCTCTGGGTCTGATACACTGTGTTTGAAATAAATGGAACCATTTGGACAACATTTTCTAAATTTTTGTGTTGCGAAACTAGTGTTGCGGAGCGGGGGTGTTACGGATATGTGGTGTAAATCTTTAGTAATCAAAAATCATGTCTAATTAATTGAAATCATGAAACTTTTATTATAAACTATTATTAAACTCAGACAACATTTTAAAAACAAACATTTTTGGTCAAACAACATGCTGCACAATGAGCTTTACTGTTAAAATTAAAACATTGAAGAAAAATTAAGTTTTAATCTTAATTTATTTGTATTAGTGTTAGTATTATTATTACATTGAGACGTTTCTAAATTCTACTGTACAGCAGTAATATATTTCTGTCAAGTTAAACCCATAGACTGTAAAAAAATAGGTTAAACCGAACTTTTATTTTGACGGGTTGCCGTGAAGACCGTGTCCTCATATAGGCAAAAAAACAGCTCGAGCGTTACACACGTGCTTCAGCGCGCGCGCGTGTGTGTGTGTGTGTGTTAGTTTGGTAGGGGAACAATTAGGGGAAACACTGCATCTCAAACTAAATTTGTGTGAAGTTAGAAGCGTGAAATCGCAAATGTTAAAACCGTCCCGTGAGGATGCCGAGAAATCAGCTATGTGTTCACCATGGCAACAGTAACTACACTGCGCAGCAACACGGTTATTTTTTGTTAGGTTGTAACGGTGGTGGCCGCCCTAATACAAATAAATGACTTTAAAGAAAAGTTCGGGCGCCAGACAGGATAAAACCTGTCAAAATTTAAATGAACCCAGGATAGCCAAAAAATAACCACCTGTTACACACAAAAAAAATTATAGTAATAATCAAAAAAGAAAAATCATTTCACAAAGGATATTTATTCATAATAATACTAACACCACACAAAAAGTTCCACGGTATATCTCATCTCTGACGTTTCTTTAAATCCGTGCAAAACTTCCCACGTCTTCACTTCAACGCAACATCAACGCAACATCCACGCGTCCCATCGCGTCACAACGCGTCACACATTTGCAGGTATAGCGGCTGTAGACAACGCAAAACGAAAACCTGCAGCCGCGAGGGGCTAAACACTGAGAGACGGAAAACACTGTGACGCGCAGCAACTCAGTTCCACTCGACGATCTCATTTCAATCCTTTATTCCACTTCGACACATAAAAGTACAACAGGCACTGCAGTTACCATGTCATAAGAATTCCGTGGAAGTGCGCGAGTGCGAGTGCGAGTGCGGATGCGGGTGCGGTCAACAGAAAGTGTTCGCTCCCAGGCTCACCCCCTCTCTCTGTCAAAGCCATAAAACCCAGGTGATCCAGTGAAGCAAACATATAGGCCACTATCACTTCCGCCCAAACTCCGGTGGACACGCCCACCACCTACAATACGAGTGCTGTGAATATTATGAATGAGACATAGAACACATGTGAGACTTACGCTGGCTCCTACATTCCGGCCCCTAATTATTTTAACACAATAATTATACAACTACACATTATGTAGGAGATCAACACACATTTTTTTTTTTTTAGGATAAGACAGTCCGTTTAAAAGTGTCCTTTCTTCTTTAGACCAAACGAAATAAAGAGACAGAGTCCTTTGTCTTTGTAAAGAATAATCTTCACAATCAGAGTCAGTCATATAAAAGAAAAAAGGCCCGTATGACAGTCAAGTTTAAAGTCAAAGTCTATGAAGTTCAAAGGTCAGTTGGATATCCTCATGGCTCCTCTACTTCCTGTAAAAGACAAATCTTAGTAATAGGCCTGTCCAAATAGCTGGTCTTTGTCCTAATTCGCACTTGACGAACAAGTCCTCTTCTGTCAGAGATAGTTTGCACAATCCTTCCTGTAAGCCATGAGTTGCGAGGTGCTGAGTCGTCAACTATGAGTACAATATCTCCAGTAAGGAAGTTGCGCATGACACCAGACCACTTCTGACGCTCCTGAAGAAGAGGCAAGTATTCCTTAATCCAACGTTTCCAAAACAAGTCAGAGATGTACTGAACTTGTTTCCATCTGCGACGAGCGTAGATGTCCTCCTTTTTGAACTGACCCGGTGGCAAAGATGGCATGATCTTGAGTAGCAACAGATGGTTAGGGGTTAGTGGTTCCAAGTCGTTGGGATCAGTGGATGCCTTAGTAATAGGACGGCTGTTAATAATAGCCTCAGCTTCACAGAGAACTGTGTGAAGACTTTCCTCATCAAGGGTCTGCAACTTCAGGGTAGAATTCAGGACCTTCCTCACAGACCTTATCAACCTTTCCCACACCCCTCCATGATGTGATCCTGTGGGAGGATTGAAAACCCACTTAATTCCTTTCTGAAGGAGAGTGTTGTTGATTAAAGCAAGATTCCAACCTTCCATTGCCTCTCTCAATTCTCTCTCTGCACCGACAAAGTTGGTTCCATTGTCTGAGCGCAGCTCTAATACTTGTCCACGTCTTGCTATAAAGCGTCGAAGAGCATTAATAAAGGAATCTGTGTCCAAGGACGATGCAACTTCGATGTGGATTGCTCTTATGGAAAGGCATGTGAAGAGAACCCCATACCTCTTCAATGTACTCCTTCCTCGCTTAACTTCAAAAGGTCCGAAGTAGTCAACTCCAACCCGAGTGAATGGAGGTTCATCTGGAGAAACTCTATCGCGGGGTAAATCTGCCATCTGCTGCTGCCCTGGAGCTGCATGCAGTCGTCGACAGACAATACATTTAGACAGGGTTTTCCTTATAGCCACACTAGCCCCAAGGATCCAATATCTTTGGCGCAGGCTAGCTAGCATGTGATTACGACCACTGTGTCCCACCTCTTGATGTATGTGCTGAAGAATTATGTCAGAAATGTGTAAATCTTTTGTCAATATAGCAGGATGCTTCGATTCTTCCGGCATAGCCGCTCTGCTAAGTCGTCCTCCAACTCTCAGAACACCATCTTCAAGTATTGGATTGAGCTTGTAAATGTGACTAGTTCCTTTCACACTTTCTCCCTTTTGCAAGCTGTTGAACTCTCCTGGAAACCTCCTTCTCTGACAA